TATATATAGTGAGTGGTGAGATATACGCTTTGTTAAACATACACACAACAATGTTTATTCACGTTGTCATGAAACTAGCTTCGTAGCGTGTGACAGTTCCTTGTCACACTCCCTTCAATTATCTAAATTAAGTCCTAAACCAGTGGATGAATATTCATAGCCTCCCCAAAAATCGAACAATTTCGTCAAATTTACTGGTATGGTGCACAGCGGTATTAAAGAACACGGCCCTCTGGATTGGGTCTCGAGCGGAAATCCGGAAATCGAAAATTTAGTAGAGACCCAAATCTTGAAATCCAGAAAAGTACCAGCTTCCCGGTATTGGACACAAACTTTTTTTTGAATGACCCAAAATCGATTTTCTCAACGGCTACATACTACTCTAGAGACTAGAGACTAGAGTAGTCGGCTATTTACATATTTAAAAAAAGTAAGGGCTTCTAGCCTTCTACTGATGAGAGCTACAACAATCTTCCGCCTCTGTAGAAATACTGTCCTTCAGTGTTCCCTGCTGAGGGATGTAAATATTCACCCACATGTATGTTTCAATTATTGGTTTAAAAAAAAACTAATAAAGCAAAATAATATGGGAACTCACCTAAATATAGAGAGTTATACGTCTGGCGGGCTTTCATCAGGGACACGAGCTTTTTATATGAATACCAATAATAAATAGCATTGACTTCGCTGACCAAAAAACTGATATCAGTCTACATACAATCTATCTACGCACACTATCCACTACATTCAAACAGCGCTGAGTCACTGATTACACACTGTAGACAATAGAGAGCCTACAGTCTGCACACACTCTACACATGTACACACAAACCACTACATACAAACCGCACACCCGACGCATATCAGACTACGCAGACATTGCACGCGCACACGCTCGTACGCACGCGTCAGCCCGTATGCACGACGGTATGGTACATTTGTGATCGCTATCTTCTTACCTTAACCGTCATACTCTTGTATATGTGACGCACACGCAACTACTTACGGACAACATGGCTACTGAAGAGGAGCCTCTGGCCGTCACCATCTCCGTGCACCTCTCAGCCTCGCTTTCTATCTGTGGATCGCTGTTGTTCTTGTGGCTCTACTGGCGCACCGAGAAGCGCCACATCCACTTGTACCTGACTATCCTGCTATGGATGTGTGTATCGGACCTCGGATCATCCACGGGGTACAACATCGGGTCTTCAGTTATCGACCAAGAAGGGTTGTGTATCTTTCAAGGTTTGTTCAAATTGACTTGGCGTGTGCGAAGTGCCTGCTCGGTTGTCTGTGCAAGATTAGAATATACATACATACATACATACATATATATACATAC